GGAGCTTGATATAGCCTTCATGCAGCTTGCTATTTTGTAAGTTACAATATCATTTTCTTATTACATATTATACTTCATGCATGTCCTAATGTTTTTTACTTGAACAACAGGCATTTTAATCAAATCTTTCGAAACGGAGGACTTGAAAGAACATATAGCTTTATGTGTCCTCAAAGAGTGCGGAAAGAATTTAATACTGTGGAAGCAAGGTCAATCTACATTATGACCGCAATGAGTCAGACCAAAAAGCTAATATATTTTGCACCTTACGTGGAAGGGTAAGTGTATTATTGTATTTGAGATATACAAGTTGTATGTGTTGGGTTATAATTAACATGGTTTGCCTTTTGCAGTTATCATTGGACTCTAATTGTTTGTGCCCCTTTTGACAACAAAGTTTACTGGTTCGATTCACTCCATGGAAGTCCATCCGAAGAAACCAAAGATGTCATCGACACGTTAGTTTTTATTTATATATTTATTACTTGTGAAGTTTATACAAGCATGCTCTAATATTATTTTCTCTTATAATGTTGATAGGGCTTTTCATAGTTTTAATGTCGTGGCGATTAAACAAAATAGACAAGCACCAACATGGATTCTTCCACAGGTATATGTTGTTTTGAACTAACTTTTAAACATTTTTTGATGAATTAAAGTTAATGTTTATAATCAATAATGTCTAATATTCAATTTTATATCTTATTTTTTTAGTACCGTTGTCAACAAGGACATGTTGAGTGTGGATATTATGTCATCCGCTACATGAATGACATAATTGAGACAGCAACGACAGAGAAATTAGACGAGATGAAGATGAGTTACGTTGCATGACGTTCTTCAATTTATTTCACATTTTTGACTAAGTTTACTATGTTATTTTTGATTAACAGATATTTCAAAATACTACGCCATATCTCATGGATGACATCAACTTGATGAGGGACACTTTGTCAACAACATTGGTAGAAAAAATTGAAATTTAGCTTTCAAATAGATAGGTTATTTCTCAAAAAATTCATTGTTAGATGCTTTCTCTCGGTTCCCTCTTATATTGTTCATGATTTCCTTGGTAACCACTTAGTTCTATTATATTGGCCAGTTTCCCTATTTTCGAATTGTGTAAAAAAAAATTTCATTGCTGTATATATTAACTAGCTAATTGATCTTGTTCTGCGTGATCTGCACTGCCTACATTTGTTTGGAACTGTAAACTGCAGGGTGGTCAACACGAAAATAAAGCAGAATTTTAAAAAAAAAATCATTTTTAACGGCGGTTATACATATAACCGCCGTTAAAATCCTTTTCCACGGCGTTTTATTTATAAACTGCCGTGGAAAGTAAAATTTCAACGGCGGTTTTATATTTAACCGCCGTGGAAAGTCCACTTTTCACGGCGGTTAAACATAAAACCGCCGTGTTTTCCTTACCTTTCAACGTCGCCTTTAACAACTTCGCCTTCAAAACCGCCGTTAAAAGCCACTTTTAACCGCCGTTAAAAGCCTCTTTTCTGGTAGTGAAGCTAAACTAGCTTACCGCCCAAAAAACATGATTATACATGAACCAGTTAAACATAGAAGTTATAGGGTGGTAATATGCAGAAAACAACATACACTGATATTGAGAAGGTGTTACAAGTTGCTAATATAACTTTAATCTTCTAGAGTTTTTCCTGACATCTTTTCTTTGGAGTTTTCACCCGAAAAAAAAAAGTTAAACAACAAGAATAAGACAACATCTTAGTAACTAAATCCTTACTTATTACATACTCTAACACAGGCTAATGAGATGTTAGGTGGAATACACAATTTTAAAGACAGCTATACTTTCACTCAATAAATAAAATACGTTCATCAGATTTATCAACCAGTATCAAAATAACATCAAAACTGAGCTCCGAGATAACATAACTGTTAACTTATTCGCACGATAATTACTCAAAGAGGTTTGTTCTGCCTTGTACAGCTATGAACAAAGAAAGAGAGAAAAACAAAAGGGAGGATATTTGCTTGGTTCTTTTGATGGAAAACATGCTTCTTCAGTTTCTACCTTCGTATGGATGGGCAAAGTTTGGCTTTTCTTTCCCCCCAATCCATTTAACTGCGTGGCTTGAGACAGTAAGATCTTAATTTATTGCGAAGTGAGAAGTTATTTACGTAAAACCACTGAGTTATTTTTCAGAAATAACAATAGAATGCACATAAATAATGTCTTTGGAGTAATTTGAAAGTCCCCATTAAACTTGTTAAAAATTTCAGTTTATCTTTATCTAATCATATACTTACACTTCTTGATGGTGAATGCATAAACTTCGACTCACATGTTGCAGTTCCATGGTTCCAATTAAGCATTACCAGGAGAAAGAGTGGTCTGCGTAATTCTTTTCAACTTAACTGAATTCCTGATCTGCAATGCAAAGTTTACAATATTCAATTCTCTTTGAAGCTCAGAAACCTACAGGAATATCATATAGCGAAGTTCTTTGGACATGTTTCTTAAATGAGCTGTGTAAGGTCCTTCTCTGACCATTCTGTCTAGTCAACATGCACCCCCCCCCAACAAAAAAAAAAACGGATGAACTTTCACTGTTACTGCCATAAGCCTATAGCCACTTTAACCCTTTTCCATATCAGTCTAGGTGCCATTTTTTCATGAAATTTTTTTTTTCTGCAAATATCTACTTGGGCACCGCTTGATGAAGCACAGGTTAGTCATGAAAGAAGTGAGAAGTTTGAGAATGATCCGTTTCAATTTCCATATCTATGTACCTGATCTGATCTGATGGGAATCACAGAAGAGTTGGAAAATACATCTCTCCCCATTGCAATCAGGAAATAGACATAATAAAGACTTCTTGCTACGATTACTAGAGCTGACAAATCATTGTAAAAGATGGGGAATGAAAATATCACCAATTTGTCTGAGCCAACAAATCATTGTTTTTCAGTTTTGATAGCAATATTTGCCATCTAACCATAACTCAGTTTTTTATTTGTTGACGTCGTTGACAATGACACCACTCACTTGGAGATGTTGCTTTAGAGTCTTGAAGAACTCTAAATATCTTTTCTCTTGTGGGCTTCTCATTACTGAAAAAGCATACATTTTAGTTGTAAATTTTCAGTGACTCATCATCACTTGAAAATATTGTCTATTCTCAATGTGTCAGTCTTGAGAAGTTTCAACTTTTATTTTTTAACGATCTTGGACTCCTGAAATTACGTACCATTAACTGTAAATTCCAGTGAATGAAAAACCGGACCGGACCGGCCGGTTCAGGCCGGAAACTGGCCAACCGGCCAGCTTTTCGGTCTGGTTTAGTAACAAAACCGGTGTACGACCAAACCGGGAGAAACCGGAACAAACCGATGCAAACCGGCGTCAGATTAGGTAACCCGCGGGTTGGAATGGGTTACCCGGTTCTCTGTATCCTTTGTTTGAATCGTGGGAGAGAAGAAGGACCTTACCAGAAAAAAAGAGAGGAAGAAGAGAAGGAAAAGAGGAGGGAAAATATAAAGAAAAACTTACCGTAAACTGATAAATCATGATGAAAATACAATGAAGAGCTTTGTAGTTTTTAGAATACACAGGAAAAGAAGGGAAAATATTTCAGTGAGAGGGGAGGCTTCATTGACGGCAAGACGAGAGAGAGAGACTTGAACAGAGGAGCACGAAGAGATACGGATACCAGACTAAGCTCATGGAAGGCAAGAAATTCAAAATAAAAGAAAGCAAAATAATAAAAGGCTGCTTTTTCATTAATAACCACTAACATGGGTGCTGCTTTTACTCCTTCTTAGTTGACATCGTGGGTATGGCACCTTCTCCCATAAAATTTGAGTAGGGATCACGATGAACTGATGGTACAAAGAAAAATAGGGATATGATGTACATAATATATATTTATTATTTAATCATATATTTTAAATATTACCTTTATAAAATATTTTTATAAGTAAATATCAATGTTTTTGTAAAATTTACAAAAATTATATTTTTAAATCATGACTACTTTGATTTCTGTGGTGATTAATAATATTTTTTTATATTATTTTAATATGACTGGTCTGATCCGAGTTAATCCCCGTCTACCCTATTAACCCTTAAACCACTACTTTAACCGGTTTAGTGTCCGGTCCGGTTTTTTGTTCTTTGGTAAATTCAGAGTCACAAGAGCTGTCATAGGAAAACCATTAAGTAGAGCACCAAGTTTTGGTGCAAGCTAGGTGAAGGACGACCCTAAGAAGGCACGTATACATAATATATACTGTTGGAACAACACATGTTTAACTTCTTGTTCCGTGGTTTTAAGACACGTTTAGGGTTCATATTATATTTTATCCTTATTGTTTAATCAGATTTTGGTATTAGTTCTTATAGTTTCAAATCATGATTCTTAGTCCCTATAATTTCATTAAAAATTGGTCTAATTAGTTTAATGGTATTAACTAAAAGTTAACACTGTTAAGTATTAAAATTAAAACTCATTAAAAGTGCAAGAATTAGACAAGTTTTGCTCTTCGTACTTTTAATGAGTTTAATTTTAGTCCAATGTTAACTTAGACTAAGTTCTTATAAAGTTATAGAGATCAAAAACTACGATTTGAAAATGTAGAAATCAAAATAAAAATTTGATGAAATGATAGGCACTAACAAACGTTATTAACCCAAATATTTATAATAAGTTCCATTATTTGTACGTGTGAGAGCAAGATGTCCACAGAATTAATTCTATTCATTTAAAATACATACAGGAAAGGAAATTCCAAATTCTCATGAGCAGCTTGCATTCCACAACACCCATTTTGCTGTGCACTCACCAGCTGGTCACACAGCTCAGTAATCTCTGCCACGTGAGCACCATGCATGCATGTCTACGTGGGACCCCATCCCCTCACACACGTAAGCCATTCCATTCATCCATCTTCCTCTTCCTCCGCTTTATAAGCCATCTCAACTTTCACTCTCTCCTTCAATGCAAGCTTTCCGACGACGGAGTCCATGGCTTCCACCGACCAGTCACCGGATCCGACACCGGCGAAGGGATCGCCATTAGAACCAGTTCCGGGAGCACCGATGTCTATGACGCAGAAGGCGGTCGACACGGGGGCCGATATTATGCAGTCGCTGAAACCGATCAACCAGTTCAGCATGCATGTGTGCAGCTTCGCAATTTTCAGCCACGATATGAGCCGCCAGATCGAGACCCACCATTTCTGCTCTCGCCTCTCCGAGGACTTCGTTCAATGTGCCGTCTACGCCTCCAACGACCGCAGAGCCCCCCTCCTTGGTACAAATTCCGCCCCCCCAACCAAAAAAAAAACTCTTCAAAGTTCGCTATTGAAATATTTTGAACGAGTACACATGATAGAGGAGTTGAGTTGAAATAGCTGCTCAATATATCTTGTTGTAGTTGTTAAATATTCAACTACGACACTTAGGAGGCCTTAGATGGCTAGATCACAGAGTTGAATTATTTGATATGTGTGCTATAATACGTAAGATGAGTATAAAATGATGTGCTTTTTGATAATCTCTTTTGTGTGACAGGTGTGGAGTACATTGTTTCGGATAAGATATTTGAAACTTTTCCACCGGAGGAGCAGAAGCTTTGGCATTCTCATGCCTACGAGGTTTTGAGCTCATAAGTATTTGATACTTGTAGATTTTCTGTTTCTATCGTTTAATGACAGATAGCTTAGTTTATAACTAAAAGGAAGAATATTCGGATGGATGCAGATAAAATCTGGGATATGGGTGAACCCCAGAGTTCCTGAGATGATCGCCAAGCCAGAGCTTGAAAACTTGGCCAAAACATATGGCAAGTTCTGGTGCACCTGGCAATTTGATCGAGGTATATACACTATCTTCAAAGTTGTTCTACTGGAAGTTTTCCACATTTGGATTCAGTAACAGACAAATCCAATATGAACATTACGAATAGTTGATGAGATGGACTCTTACCATCTCTTACTGAATCTGTCTATCATTAAATCTAAATGGGGCTCTTATTAAACCCAAATTTATCAGAGGTCATACCAATATGATCGAGTTTTGATGTGTGGGAAATTGGGAAAACAGGGGACAAGCTGCCAATGGGGGCTCCAGCACTGATGATGTCTCCACAATCTGTAAGTCCTGGGATTGTGAGACCAGAGCTGCGACACGAGAGGGATTCCAAGTACGGCATTTCTTCTGAGAGCCTCCAGAGCTCAAGGATGGAGATTGAAGAGCCTCAAATGATCAGTCCCATGGCAGATTACTGGAAGCAACATGGCAAGGGATTCGCCATTGACTTTGAAGTGACCGAAATGAAACGCACAGCTCCTTTTCCTTGAACACCTCAAAATGTATGTCTAATGTACTATGTTGAAATAATTTCGTATGGCCTTATATATACATATATATATATATATCTACAAAATTATTTATGGTGTTATATCTAGCTTGCCTGAGCAATGTAGCTTTTAATAATAAGTGATAAACCCCTTTCTTCTTATTGTTGCATTATATGGGGAGTGGTGAGTTGCTTTACATTTAACTAACTGGAGCCGACCACAGTGTTGATAAATCCAAGATGGATTTAGTTTATTAACAGCAAACATATTGTCTCTGCCAACAACTGTTTTGATCATTTTCATCTCCATCCTTCTTTTGAAGGAAGCAGAGTTTTATATAATCAAATTGTGTCTTCGCAGAACTTTTAAATTTCTATAGAATTAAAAGAATCAAGCTAGGGACAGACAGGTCTGCCCTGAACTAACGATGAGGGAACATTGAAATTTGGAGAATTTAACTTTACAGAGAACCCACAAAGGGGTTGCTTTGTGTAACTCTTAGCTTCCCAGTACTCCTTGCCACATTGCTAATAATTTTTGTTGAATTTTCAGAGTATGAGTGAATAGACTATATGCTGAGCTGATATAATTTCTTTTCTTGGGAGAATAAGATAATGGAGCTAAAAATGATCCATTTTGGTGTATGTATCAGAACTTTGGTGATTGAATACATTCCACTCTTGTTGAAGAGATAATTTGTATAATCCATGTACCAAGTTCTTACTCTATTTATCAGGATGGCTCAATATTTCAGTCCATGTAATTCGTAAAGTCTAACCATCCATTATTTGCTAAATAGAAGTCGTTTCATACGCAAGTATGTGTGTATTTCTGTATATATTCGTATGGAGGTTGGCAAGAAGAAAGAGGAAAAGCATAAGTTGATTTTACTCAGAAGGATTTTACTGCTGAAATCAATACAAAATTTATTGAATGGCGAAGGAAAGTAGGAAACACGGTTATTTTGGGAAAATGAATTTTAAAACAGAACAAATACAAAAACAGATATAAAAATAGAAAGAAGACTGTTACAGGTCAATTTTCCAGTCAAAACACAATACGGCATTTGAGGATATTTTTTTCAGCACAAGTCTTCGCCTATACTTTCCACCTTAAAATATAATCACGAAGCTGCATTCCAATTTCTTGTATCTTTCTCTCCTTCATACTCCTATCTAAACTCTGTTTCTTCTTCCTCACTTATGATATATATTGGATTCCGAGACAAAAGAAGCTAATTTCTTGAAGACTCAAACAGCAATAGTTTTAGTCGTCTCATAGATCTCCTTGAGAAAGGTACTCCTCTGTCACCGTATTTCTATCTTGTGCGCCGAATGAATTAGATTCTCATGTCTTGAGTTTCATTGCAGGATTAATAATGTTGATGGCTGCTGTAGCAATTGCCGGAATTATTGGCCTTGCCGCAATTTCGCATCGTCTTCTTCATCATTATCTCACTTCACAAGACAAGAACCAGAATGAATCTGGGTGCACGGTACCAGAAGCGATGACATTTGGTTCTAATGGCATTGATGTTTTGGATGGTCTTTCTGATACTCGCACCAAGCTGTTGCACGAATCAAACTGTGATGAAATGGAGGCTAAGGCTCAAATTTCCAATTCCAATGCTTTTGATTCTTTAGAATGGAGAAAGCCAATCCTGGGGGAAGTTATGGAGGCATTAGCTGATCCTAATACTCATCTAATGGGAGTTTACGGCCCACAGGAAGGGATCAAAGACACTCTGCTTCAGAGAGTTTGCAGAAGAGTTCAAAGAGACCAACTATTTGGTATGGTTGTGACAGCATCTGTAACCAAGTATCCTGATGTGACGAAGATTCAAGAGGATACTGCTCATCAACTGGGATTTACTCTTAAGCACATGCCCAAAGACAAAAGAGCTAACGAACTGATTTATAGGATCAAGAACGAGCAGAAAATTCTCATTCTACTCTGTGACCTCTGCAAGGAACCTGACTTGGGTAAGGTAGGAATCCCACGTAGTGCGGATCACACAGGCTGCAAAATATTACTCACTTCTACTGATGAAGATATGCTATCCAAACATATACATACCCAGATAAATTTTATGGTTTAAAAATTCTCCTCTTTGATAAAAGCTTCAGCCTTTTAAGGAGAGTTTACTAAATGTGTGTGTTGTAAGGGTTTATTGTATATGTGCTACACCCCATGAGATTATATACTCTTAGGTCCCGTTTGGCGCAAAGAATTAAAAATGAGGGAAAGAAATTAAGATTGAAAATGTAAAATTATATTAAAAGGATGTTTAATATAAGTAATTATATAATACTTAGGATTAGACAAATCCATATATGTGGAATTGGGAAATACCATGAGGAAGGTGGTATTTCCCAATCCTATCTATATGAGATTGCCTAATCTTGTGCGATAAGAAACACCCATACTAAGCATCCTTTTAACATGTGTTTTTAATTTCAATCCTAATTCTTATTCCTTATTTTCAATATTCTGTACCAAACATAAACTTAGTTTTTGGTGCAAGACTTGGAAGCTCTGTGGTGAAGAAAGTTTCTTAGTGATATCTTGTTTGGCATAATTAAAAAAAAAAATCTTTTAGGAAAGCGGGAAAATGGATGGGAATTGAAATTGAGAAAGAAAATAAACTTTCTGTAAAACCAGTTTACTTGTTTGACATGAAAGAAAAAATATATTGAACATAAGAAATTAAAAAAAAGGAGTAATGACATAAATATCTTTTATAATAAAAAAGAGATAATTAGAATTCGGCTATGGAGAATAGCATGATTTTTCTGAAGGGAGTGGCATTTCTTTATTATCTTATAGAAGAAGACTCATTCTTAATTATGTCGGGTGGGAGTGAACTTATAACAGACGTCCTTTCTTAAAACTTCTTGTGCTTTTTACTAAACACAACTATGTGTCTTGAAGACTGTATATTGGAATTTTGCCCATTTATACTGTGTCGAAATAATTTAGTATGGCCTGGTATATATAAACACATATATATGTAGAAATTTATTTAGTGATGTCATATCTAGCATGTCTGAGCAATGTAACTCAATAATTAAACCACCCCTTATTTGCTAGCGAAGTCATTTTATATGTATGTATTTCTGTATATATTTATTTACATGTAGGTGGCGACGAAGAAGGAGGAAAGCTCAGCCGATCTTAGATACTCAAAAGTTCATAAAATGGTTTACAGAGACAAATTTATGTGAATTCAAATATGAAGATGATTCAAGAGCTTCCACTTCTGGCTCACATTTAATAACTCTGGAGATAAACACGTGATCAGCGAACTAAATATTGAGTGTATTTTTTGTAAGGAAGTTGAAGGAAACACCCTAATTGCTGGAGAAGTGAATTTTAAAACAGAACGACGACAACAGGAACAATAAAGAGAAAGCGAACTGTTACAAGTCAATATTCCAGTCAAAGTACTTTCAACGACACAAGTCTTCAACTTTACTTTCCATATTACAATATAATCACGAAGCTGCATTCCTATTTCTGAGATCTTTCTCTCCTTCGTACTCCTATCTAGGCTCTGTTGCTTCTTCCCACAAAATTTCTCGGATTCCCAGAAAAAAAAAGAAGCTAATCTCTTGAACACCCAAACAGCAATCTTTTTAGTCTTGTTGAGAAAGGTATGCCTCTGTCACTGTATTTCTATTTTGTTCTCTGAATAAATCAGATTCTCTCATGTCTTGAGTTCCGTTTCAGGATCAATAATGTTGCGATCTGCTGTAGCAATTGCTGGAGTGATTGGCCTTGCTGCCATTTCGCATCGTCATCTTCTTCGTCATTATCTCACTTTGAGCAGATCCCAGACACCCAAGCCTCGATCGCAAGACAAGAACCAGAACAAAGCTGGGTGCACAGAACAAGGAGCGATGGTGTTCAATTCCGATGGTACTGATGTCCCACAATGCTGTATTTCGAATGATCGTTATATTCTTGAAAAAGGGGGGCCTAGAATTCAAGCACAGGCGAGTTGGTGCAATTCTAATGATTTTGATGCTTTAGAATCGAGAAAGAAAGTACTGGACGATGTTATGGAGACATTAGCTGATCCTAATAAACACTTAGTTGGAGTGTATGGCTTAGATGACGAGATCAAAGACATTCTTCTTCAAAGAGTTTACAGAAGAATCGAGAGAGGTAATCTGTTTGGTATGGTTGTTACAACAACTGTAAGTAGATATCCTGATGTGAGAAAGATTCAAGACGAAATTGCTCGTAAACTAGGCTTCGCTTTTAATAACAAGTCCAGAGATAAAAGAGCCAAAGAATTGATTGAAAGGATAAAGAACAAGCAAAATATTCTTATCGTACTCTGTGATCTGTACAGGGAACTTGATCTGAGTAAGGTAGGAATTCCTTGTGGTTCAGATCATGCGGGCTGTAAGATATTACTTACTTCTGCAACTGAACATGTGCTATCCGACCACATGCATACCGAGAAGAATTTCATGGTCTGACGATTCACTTAATGTATAAAAGCTTTAAACTTTTGTTGAAGAGTTTCCGGATCATCTATGTTGTAAGGGGCTTATTACATGTTTGCTCTCTTTTACCTTGATAAGATTATGTAATATTAGCATTTGTGGCTTGCGTTCTGTAATAATTTTGTTTAGTTCTGGGTGAAAGACTTGGAAAGTTTGTGTTCTATAGTCATATTTTAAGGATATATATGTAAGGTCATTGTTATGGAAATGTGAATGCAGTAGTTGGGGTGCTAATTCCACAAGATGGGTCCTTTCGTGTTGAAATTAATGACTCTGTTGTGTCGACTTGCTTTAATGAATTAAGACACAGACACTCTTGCCTAATTGGAGTATGGTCACGAAGCTGCACCACAATTTGCAGAATATTCCTCTCATTCGGCCTGTTATGCAATTTCTCTTCTTCCCAGGGGAAATTAATTTGTCATACTGCATCTGGAGCTAGAGTCATAATTGAATTCGAACCTGGGACACTCGCAGTTGATAGAAGCTAGTTTCCTCAAGTCCTTACAAATAGAAATTAGCATTCAATTTTTCAGTTCGGTTTTCAATAATAATCTAATTAACCAAAAACTGAATAAAATAAATTTTAAACACTGAACCCATTAATCAAATTAACTGAAACCAAGTTAACCAAAATATTTTGATTCAGTTAATTGGTTAACCAAAATATATAAATAAAAAAGCAATTTTAGATAAGAAAAACATAATAAAACATAACTACAATCATTAATTAATGATATTCATTATTCAATATCATTTATTATAATAATATTTATTATAAGTATATTTATTAAATCTAAATATAAGTGAATGCATTGTTCTAGCTCAGATACAACCACATATATATCTATTATAACAATATTTATTAAATATAAATATATTATATATGTATTTCAATTTTTTGGTTTTAACTAAATTTTTTTCCCAATAACCAAACCGAATATCGAAAACAGAATTATTAAAAAATAAAAACTAACCGAAAAATCGAAACTCACAAAAAGAAACAAAGTAGAAGGAAAGGACACTTCTCATGGAAATCAGTGAGCGGCTTCCAATTTTAATCAAATTATGGAATCATATATCATGCCTATGTATTACCATGATATGTTTAAAAAGTCCAAAACCACGATCCTGTGGAGGGTGGATTTTTCATTCATCATATCATGACTTCCCATTTCTGGCTTCCTTCATGTCAACTCCAGCGATGCTTCTCTTCTTCCTGCAAAGCTAAAATTATAAAACTGACCCGTGAGCTATTTTAAATCAAGTTTAATTTCCTCGAGTCCCAAATTAAACAACCATCTTTTAAATCTTTTCCATTGATCTTCTTAACAAAGGTACTTCTCTGTTAAAGAATTTCTCTTCTGGCTAGCCTCTTGTCGCTTCTGAAGGCATATGTACTGTGACAGGGGATGGTAACTGTATTGTTTCAAGAACAAAGCAGGAGGAGCAGACTACTGAATTTTTTTTTTGGCCCCCCCCCCCCATAAAGTGGAGCCACTTGTGAAATTTGAAAATGTCTAGAGTTGCTTTTGTTTTAAATCAACTCATCTTTGAGCCTCGCACAGTTTTTACTACATTTTTCACCCAAAATCAGCTACCTTATTCTCCTGATAGGAAATGCCTTCTTGACACTTCCTTCTTCTTTGACCATGCTGCAAGAAAGTTAAAGCAAATTCTTTTTTTTTGTTTTTAATCATTCCCCTTCTATTCAAAAAGCTTATAGAATTCAAAGAGACCAACATTTTGGTATGGTTGTGACAGCAAAAGTAACCAAGAATCCTAATGTGCGAAGATTCAAAAGGATATTACTCGTCAACTAGGATTTACTTTTAATCAGAATTCTAAAGCGAAAACTAGCAAAAGAATTGATTCATAGAATCAAGAACGAGCAAAATATTCTCGTTGTACTTGGTGGCTTGTACAAAAGACTCAACCTTAGTAAGATAGGAATTCCATATGGTGCTGGCTGCAAAATGTTACTCACTTCTACAACTGAAGATGTGCTATCTAACTATATGCATATATACCCAAAAGAATTTCATGGTCATCTGGTTCTCTTAATATATAAACTCTTTTAAACTTTTGTTGAGAACTTCCGGATCATTTATGTTCAAGGGCTATATTATATATTTGCTCTCTTTTTTTCCTCTTCTTGAAAATATGTTTGCTCTCCCCCCCCCCCTCTTGATAGGATTGTGTATAATGATTGGGAATAATTAATATGCAAATCCTTATAGTTTTAATTGGTTTTTAATCAGGTCCCTATAATTTTTTTCTTTTTATCAGGTCCTTATAATTTCACATGTTTTTAATCAGGTCCTTATGAATTTTTTTCTTTTTATCAGGTCCTTATTGTTTTACCTTATTTTTAGTTAGGTCCTTGTAGTTTTTTTTCTTTATTCTATAAATAATAATATTCTATAAATAATAAATTATTATAATAATCTTGTGTTAATATTCTTTTAAATTTTTAGTTAAGCATATGTATTATTTATTTTTCAATTCTAATTTTTATAATTATAAAATTCAAATTATAATAATAAAATTTTCTAAAATTAGAATATAATTATAAATAATTTATATTTAAATATAATTATTTATTATCATTATTATTGATTACTAAATGATTGTGTTAATCATTTTGTCCAATTATATGATTATTAATTAAAAAATAAAATTAATTTTAAAGAATAAAGTTAATAAATAAATTTTTTAAAACTAAAAAGGATCTAATTAAAAAATAAGTGAAACTATAAGGACCTAATAAAAAGGAAAAAAAACGGAGGGACCTAATTAAAGACATGTGAAAGTAAAATGATCTGATAAAAAAAATTTTATGAGGACCTGATTAAAAATCAGATAAAACTATAAGGATTTAGAGATTAATCATCCCTAACAATTTTATGTGTCCCTTCCATTATACTCCTTTCGATTTAAAATATAAGCTAAATTTTGTTAGAGAAGCTTTTTTTTTTTCCATAAGATAACTTCATTTTTGTCTAGATATTTAATGAGTTTTTTTTAATTTTATCTCCATATATTCTCTTTCTTCTTTTGATTCATTTATTGTATCTTTTACATATTCTTTTCATTAATAAGGGCATATTTTAAAAAAAACATGCATTACATATTTATTGTTTTAAACTAATTTTAAATTTTTAACTAATTTCTTGATAAACGCAAATGGACAAAGTTTATCTTATATTTTGAACTAGAGGGTGATCAATACTTTTGCTTAGCTTTTGGTGTTAGACTTGGAAGTTTGTGTTGTATAATCTTTGGAGGTATATTTTTCCTTTCTAAACCTATTTATAGGTCATTTTTAATATGTTTTATCAAAATTAAAAAAAATTTTAAAATTCTGTTTTAAAATTTAACAACTTTTCAATTTTACTTCTATCTAATATTTATTTTTTTAGGAAATAACAATCTACACAATAATAAATAAAAGGTAAAATAGTACTCTTATATTAACAAATAATAATGTTAGTAATAAATAGGACCATAAAAGCTTTTTTCTTTACTTTCTTTTGATCCTACTTACAGGTCATTCTTATTGTGTTGGTGAAATTTAAGACTTGAAATTCAATCGACTCTGGATTTTTTGTTTTGTTTTTTTGTTTGTAAAATAACGGTTATAAATAACTTTTTTACCATAAAAAAAATGAAAGCTTGTCTTCCCCTTTTTATAGAGTCTAGATATTTTTATTGATTAGTAATAATAACGAAAACTTGTCTTCACTCTTATTTTATGTATACACTTTCGAGAAAATAACAATATATTAACAAATAAAAGATAAATAATTATGTTTATCTTAAAAATTCAATGATACCATTTATAAATATGATAAAAATATTTCTCACCTTATGAATATGATGAAATTAAGAAAAATACTTAAAAATAACGGTCGAGTTGCTTTCAGGTTGAGCAGTCATAATAGCTTCAATATCATTGCTAATCGATGTTCAGGGGTCGTGTGATTGTGTGATTTCTGTTGGCTCCAAGTTACAGACAATATTCAGTTCACCTTCCTTCAATTTCTATGCCCTTCTTTTTACCCTCTGTTCTGAGCGAGCGGTTCTGAAACCTAAGACTCTGAAATGGGTTACTGAATAGATCTTTGAAGAAGCTAAGGCAGTCGAGGTACCACACCAAAATAGAGAACTTATAGTATTTCTCGATTCTAAATATAAAATCTTTTTTGCAGTGTAAATTACACTTATATTTAGGATTATAAGAGTAGCAAGTGAAAAAGGTTGTGGTTTGCTTGTTTCGAAGAAAAATATTAAACAGTATATCCATGTGCAATGTGGCCCACCAATTTTGTTTGCTTGTGAAGAATATATAAATCTTGTGGTTATAAATCCAAATGGGCTAGGGTGGTAATTACATTACTGAACCATCAATGCAATTTCTTGTAACTTTTTGTAGAAACTTTGATCACTTTCCACGCAAAATCATGAAAAATATTTGAACGCTTCTTGAGATGATTCAAAGGCCTCTTCTCCCGTTTCACCCCTAGATATAAGTAAAATCATCAAAAACACAGACAACACATTCACATATATAACAATATAATCTAAATTAGTGCATATTCTTGCTTTTGTTATTATGTTGCAGATGCTTTTTTCATTTTCCAATTCCTCCTAACAATGTTATCTTCATCCATAATTACAACGCCTTGGCTTATTGAAAGATTGTAAAAAAAAGAAAACCTTTCTGGTGCTGCTCAGCGATAGAATATTTTCTCAGCAGGGCCAAATACTTTTGTCAACCAAAAAAGAGCTACCACACCAAAAAAGAGAACACATCATAGTGATTGAAAAGGCTGAGGTTTGCTTGTTTTGAAGAAAATTATTAAACAGTATATCGATGTGCAATGTGGCCCACCAACTTTGTTTGCTTGTGAAGTTCATGCATTTATCAAGTTTTGTTTGCCTATGAAACTGTGGCCTTTATCTTCACACGACAGTAAGTGGGTGTATTTATTAGATTTTGGTTATTGTACATGAATGATGGCAAACTTTGGCAGTCCCGCCATAATCATGTTGTCTTTTGCTTTTCGACCATAGTCTTATTGTTTTCTGCTTTTCAACTACTTAGGTACATGAATGATATTGATTAAATATCGTAATATGGTTTTTAACTACTTTTTTCTGTTTAGTTATAGTTTATAGCGGGTGATTTAATTTATAAGGAGTGGGATTACATGGATGATTCTAGTGACATGAGTAAGTTGACACCTTTACTTAATATTATAATGTATTTTTTCACTATATATGTCTAACCATGTAATGCAAGTTAATAGGTGATTTGATTGGAGCTAGGAAGGTTCAAGTAATGAAGAGAATAATTTTAATACCCAAAGTTATCAAAGTGATGAAGCATATGGTGATAGTGTGATGATAATGTTGAAGAAAAAATATGGGTGCCTTGACACTTTAGTAATATAGGAGATTATGGGACTATAGGAATGAGGTGTGTCGAAGAAATTATGAAACTACCTTTCAAATTCTCCTTGATCGTCCTTTCATTGACCGACCGCCTAGGTTCAAGAGGTTATACCTATGTTTGGATACAGTTAAAAGAGGATTTTTAGTGACATGCGGGCCCATAGTTGGCTTAGACGGATGGTTCCTCAAGGGACATTTTGGTGATATACTGCTTGTAGCTGTGGGACAGGATCCAAATGAACAATAGTTTCCGTAGACAGTAGCGGTAGTTGAAGGTGAGAATAAAGATTCATGGTCATGGTTTTTGGACAAAATTTCTTAATGATATTGGCAAGACAAAGACTTTGGGTTTTTACATCTGATCAACCAAAAATGCACGATTGATTATGCATGTAGAGAAGAGCCCCTTGATTATGTTGATGGATAGATGAAGCTACAAGCTTACATTGATTGTTATTTTCCTGTGGTCAATGCAATTAATGGACAAGACTTGTGGGAACATGTGGATAAAGAAGAGTTAGACCCACCACTATATCATAGAAGGCCTGGAAGATCACCAAAATTAAGAAGAAGAGGACCGGATGAGCCTTCATGTCCTAATAAGCTTCGTAGGACTAATACAAGTCTTCAGTGTGGCTCTTGCATAAAGCATGGTCATAATAAAAGAACATGCAATACTAGAAGTAGTTCACAACAAGCTGGAAGTAGTTCACAACAATCGTCATCACAGCCGCAAGGGCAGATGATGAACTGGATATTTGTATCTTGTACACTTTTTGACTGCACACTTTTTGTTCTTGTACCGAATAGAATAACTTCTGTGGCAATATCACCTCAGCAGTATTTAACTTTTGACGCAGGAAGTATTTTGCAAATGAATTCTAATGTCAAGTTGGCAAAGACCAATGTAATGAATCAAAATTTGCTTCTACCATTTTATCTCTTTGAAATCTATTCCTTTGTACCATTGTAAGCTGTAAGTTGGACCACAAGTTTATTGAGTGGATGTGTTTAAGTCTAAAGCATTTAGAAAATGGCCTGTTTTGATTCCGCATATTGAATCTGTCAACTTAATTTTTAACATGTCCTATTATGAATTTGACAGCAAACAAAATAGAATATGACAGCAAAAAGGCATTACAATTAAAATGGCATGTCCAGAAATAAATCAATATGAACATAAGAGATTAAACAGATTCAAAATTAACTTTTCATTCATTGGACCCGTCTTTGCCAAATTGGCATTACAATTGATACCTGCAAAAAGATTATGAAACAACAGCTGTAACATTCCACTCCCTTCCTAACTTGTTAAGTCTACACCAAAACAATACCTACTACCTATTACAAAGCATATAATGTTAACTACAGCGAACAAAACTCATAAAAGCTATTAACTAGTATATAGCTACAGGCAACAAAAGCAGTGAGACCATAAACAATCCAATTTCCAAAATGTAATGCATTTTGATCCTTCTCTTCAAGCTCTCTATTATCTTCTCTTGGTTTGCAACTACTTTCTCTTAATCTGCAATATAGCCTACTATACCAGCATGACTAGTTTAATAGGCTTGTTCCTGGAGCTAGCAAGTTGTCTTCATCATCAATAAACAACCTCTCATTTGCAAAATGTGGCTCGTTGTACACCTGAACCAGATCAATGAAATTGAACGTGAAAAATCCATTTTATCTCACGTACATGCTATAGGCTAAAAAGATGAACCACTGTAGAAGCATGATTAGTTTAATAGGCTGGTTCTCCTTTTAGTCTTGTGGGCTATTATTTAGTATATTTTTTTAGTATGCTTTAATTTTGGATACAATTTTTTTGAGTAATGAAATTCATTTTTTCACCCAGAGAAGTCGTAGTGCAAATGAGAGAATGATACACGTAGCATCGCTGGATGGTATGGAGAAATGAACCTTTATCAAAATTCTCTGGCTTCTCATTTCTCCACAATTTTTTCAGTATACTGGGAAACCCAATGATAAAGAGATCCAAAAAAGACAAAGAGGTTCATAATGGAAAATGTTTACCAAAATCAAATCTACCTCTAACAACAACAATCTACCTCAAAATGTTCACAGATTAGAGCTATTCTGTTTCAGTTTAAGAAACAAACCATTGCAAGTTCCGGGAAATTTTAGCTCTACAACTTAATTAACCTTTAGCAAAGGAGTTAAAGTAATAACAATTGCTCAGTAGTGCTATAAAATGCGAATCTGGAAGGAGTTATAGTAAGTAATAACAACTTAATCTAGAAGGATTAGCAAAGCGAGCAGAGAAAGATCTAGACAAATTGTCTAGTTCATCCAGCGCAGAGCCCCGATGAAAGTTCTGCAAGTAAGTGCGTGGATCATAATAAGGAAGATGCAGCAAAGTTGCAGAAGACGCACTCCACCATAGCTTCTCGAAAGATGCACCCCGCCATAGCTTCTCAGCCGCCGCACTCCATCGTGGCTTCTCGGTCGCCATTTGCCTTCTTCATGTTCTTCCCCTTCTCAAAGCTCACAATCTCCTCTCACCCTAAAGATGCTCCATTGTTTTAGATCCCATTTGAAAAACGAAAATCCATGTCATTTTATTTTACTAGATATAACGTCCAACTCAACAAAGTTTAGTATCATGAATGACACATCAGCACGATCTACCATGAGTTACTAACATAAAAAAACTATGAGTACTGAGTCGCAATGAGTTAAACTATGATTGGCTGAATCGCGATGAGTTAAACTATAAGGATTAAATAATTAATTTTTCCAAAACTAAAAATGACTTGGTTTGGCAAATTCTTCGGCTACCCCTCCCTGCATTCTCTCTCTATATCACTTCTCTCTTCCTTTGGTTTGTTGCCATTGAAGCGCCGCCCAACCTTCACTATCTGAAAAAATAAGATTTCTTTCGTTCACATATAAACCTTCATTCTTTTTCTAGTCAAGTAGAAAAGTTCTTTTGTTATTCGCTTCCAGCTTTCAGTATGCTTTTTTCATTTTTAATAACGTTTAGAACTATAAGATCAACCCAGATCTGCCAAAAAGGGAATATATGAAAAACAATTCAGAGGCTTATATTCTACAAGATGATGGAGAATGCCATATCAGTAGAAGAGTACGAATGATAATAAAATGAAGAGCAATACATTCTTCTCCTATGTTGTCGATAACGTCTCAACCACCGTCATCAACATTTGAGAAGGAAACAAGAAAGAGATGAAGGGCATCATAGGATTTAAAGGTGCTTCCTTCTCCAATGCGTTTTTAATCTATCTACCACAGTCTTCAGCATGTTGGAACACGATGGGGAGAGATGGAGGACGCGGTTCAATGGTCGTTCTCGAAGAAAGGTCGTCAATGTATGGAGAAAGTAAGCAAATCTGAGATAGAACAAAGAGGGAAGCGAGTGAGTATGAGAAAGAGAGAAGAGAGGCGCAGCCTCGGGGGGGGAAGGGGGGGTCTGGCTTTCCTCCGCTACTGTTAGGGTTCGCCGCCTCTCCGATCTCCCCAGAACGCACCGTTTAGCGTGTAAAATGACAAATGGGATTCAACCAAAAACACTGCAATGCCAGAGAATGAAAATCAATGAAGCAACAAAAAATAGGCAAAAAGTGGACATCGATTCTGGATAAGCAACAAAAGAAATATTTCTAAATGAAAAAAATCATTAAAAAAAAAAAAAGAAGACCCAGCCACAAATTTTAAGATTCAAGTATTGGGGCTCAGCACTTTATACTCACTCTGCTCCTTATTATAAAAGACTATTGATTAATTTACACATAAGAATAAAAACAGTTAAATACATTAAATTTATCTTAAAATTTAAGCTATTTTTAGTAGGAAAACTAACAAAATAAAGAAGCAGAGAATTTGTAAATATCAAATAAGAAACGTCAACAAAAATTTGTTGTCATTGACTGTAATATCATAAATTTTATTTCGGTCCAAAAAAATTCAAAAAAAATAATTAAAAGATAATATAATAATAATATTTTATTATAATATTTATTGAAAAAAAAAAGAAGGTCAAACTTTCTACTGAATTCGGTGGAAAGTTTGAGGAAGGGGGATGGGGGTTGAGGGTTGGGTTTGAAATCCTCCTCCCTCAATAAATGTGTGGGGGTGTTAAATACCCCCCACAATTCATTTCCCCCGTAGGCGCAAGAAGAAGAGAGAGAGAGCTGAAGAGTGTGTGAGAGAGAGGAGCATACCGGTGAAGGAGAGGGTAAGTTTTGAAGATATTTTAGGTATATAAAATTACTTCTCTTTATCAAACTTTCTTTATGAATATTCCTTGTATATTTTGAGCTTCTTATTCACATTATTACTATAGTGACTGGAGAAAATTTTAAAACTTATATATGATCTAAGTATTGAGTTTTGATAAAAGATGACTATAGAAATTTAGAAATAAATGAATTTTTAATTTTAATCGGTTTAGATTTCTCTATTTGTTAGTTTTAGTATTTAAATTAATTTATTTAGTTGAAAATCTGTTATTTATGGGATATATCATATTTTTATCGATTAAATTCAAGTTAAATAATTTATTTGGATTGTTTGATATATTATTGAAATTTTAATCGGTTTAATTTTATTTATTGGGTGAATGGAGGTTTTAAAATAATTATTGTAGCTAAAAAGTTTTTTATTTATGGAATATATATATGGTAACTATACCATTAAAGTTTTGATTAGATTATTTATTTATAAATATTTGAAGTATTATTGAATTTTTGATAGTTTGATTTTGAGGTTTAAACTTAAAATGTGATTTTAGAATTTAGACCATAATAATTTTATATTTGGAAATCGTGGAAAATCCTTTTTATTAAGGTAAATAATTTGGAGGTAGTAAATAAATAATTTGGCTTGTTAGAAATTTTAAGTTATTTCTAAAATACTTAATAATTTGGGTTATGAGAGTTGGAGGAATTTAGAATAAAAATTTAATTAAATTAGAAATTTAACTAATATAGATAAGTTTAATTATTAATTAGTTAGTTTATATTAATATGTGGTTATATTAATTGTGTAGATTAATTATTGGTTGAGTAAAGGATTGACCTTGTGGCAATCCTTAGTATTACTTTGGCGAGAGCTAATCACTTTCCACTTGTTATATGTACTAATATATTGTTTGTGAGTATTTTCCTATTTTTTAATAATATTTGTTATTTGGAATTTGAGTAGATATATTATACCTTTTAAGCTATGAAAATTGTCTTGTGGGATTTTTGAAATTGTGATTGAGAAGTTTTGAAAAGATATATGATTTATATCTTATGGATTATACTGAGAAAATGTTGAGACATTTTTGTTATATTGTGAATGGTTGGTTATTGTTTGGATTTTGGATTGAGCTCTATCCTACCACGTGATAAGGCTGCCATTGGTGCACATTGGTTGGCTTCTTCCTTCGTCCCTAGAGTAAGGGATAGACCCTTGTGGTTTTTTATTTGTCCCCCAAAGTGTGGGATAGGCCTATAATAAGGGATGGACCTTTGTGACTACTTAATTTGTCCCCCAAAGTGTGGGATAGGCCTATAGGTCGGTTTGATCCCCTATAATGAGGGATAGACTTATGTAGCTTGTGTGTTAGCTCGCGTTATGAGGGTTTGAATGATTGAGATTATTTGAATATGCATATTTGTGTTTTCATTAATATATAGATATTGAGATTTAATAATTATCCCACTTGACACCTCACGAGCACATGTTAGTATGTATGATGAGTTGAAAAGTTGGTTACTGAGGCGTTTCTCTCACTCCGTGGTTTTTACTATCTTCAGGTGATAGTTCAGGTGGTGGCCCATCAGGGAAGACTTCAGAGGCATAGTGTACGGTTATAGCTTGTATAGCCTCCTTGCTTTTGTTTTATGTGTTGACTTGTTATATATTGCCACATAGGGCCCATATACTCTAATATTGTAAACTAATACTTTTAATTACTATTATCCGATATGGGAGGCCATTTAAAGGCTAGAGATATTTAAGACTTTGTGTATTATGCTTATTTGATAGTGTTGACTTTTGACTAATGGGCTCCATGACTTATATTAAAATGTTTTATTAGTTCATGTGTTTGAAAGTATAAGTTTGGTTTGGGCTAACGGTTGAATGATATTTCTGGATTTTGAAAGTTCAAAGCCCAAGTTAACGATAGATGTGGCTCGTAATATAAGTTTATTTCTTTTAACCATGATAGTGATTTTAAAATTTTAAGGTTTCTTCTTTTCTATCATGGTTAATCATTCAAATAAATTGTTGGATTTAATCTAAAATAGTTTTGAAAGAACGTTTGTCACATTTACAAACCTGATTTGGGATTTAGTAATTTTCAATTTGCTTTTTTGTCATTCTCCCTTTTCAATATCACTGTTATTAACTATACTAAATTCTAACATCATATATTAATTTATACTCTCTCGCTACCTTTATTAAATATGGACATATATTGAAAAAAATTTAATATTCACTGAAACTATCATAGTGTCTTATAAAAAAGGACTAAAAGTTTTTCTTAAAAGGTGTCTTATAGGGTGTATGTACTATTTTCATTTCTAAATATACCTTTTCTATCAAAATTAAGAATATCAAATATTTCTTACCAGAATTTAAGATTTTTTCCCCTAAGAAAGCATTTTGATACTCAATGTCGCTTTGGAGTCAAATTAAATTAAATTTAGAATGCAGCAAGCGATGCAAACCAAAGTCATTCTCTTATTGGAGCCAAAAATTAACTAGGTCCTAAATTAACTAAAAATCAAAATTGCTATTAAAAAGGTTTTTTTTTGTTTTAATTAAGGACTGCTTTGCAAACTAAATTGAAAATAATTCTAAATACTTCTTTTTGGATTTTTTTAATAAAAATAGTGAAAAGGTAAATTAAAATTAAAAATTAGAAGATACTTGATTAAAGATATAAAAATTGAAATGAATTCTCCTTTAGAGCTTTAAAGGATGCCTTCGTTGCTTCAAAAGATTTATAGAGCTTTAATTTCCAAGAAATCAGCTAGTTTAAGCAACCACTTAAACTTAGATTGATTAACCTGTAATGAAAGCCCCTTAACTAAAAGAGTTCTTAACAGCATTAACAACCTCAGGAAGCTCCATTGGAAGAGATTAATAACTTTGCACAATCAAAATTCAACAATCTTAACACTGCGAGATTGAACCAGAAACTTAACTCAAAAGATTAATATTAAATTAACTCAATCCAATATCAAGCAATCAAGGTAAGAATTAAACAATGCAAACCAAGTGCACAGCTATCAAACTCAATACTCAAATCCCAAACTACACTACCACTGTAAATCTAGAATCACAATCCAATTATCTAACTAAGATAAACCAAAATGCAAAACTGAAATTAGAGATAAGAATATTATTAAAACTCCCTAATTAATTGCTCCAAGCTCTGGCACAACTCTCTGCTCCTTGGGGAGATCAGATTCAACTGCTTATGGTAGTTTGGTTTGCTCCACCGAGCTCCTCAAACCTTCTGAGCATCATCACAGCGGCACGCACATTTGGAGAAGGGGGATAGATGATGATGATGATTCCGTGATGTGGTAGTGCCGCCTCCTTCTGTGTATTTTCATATATATATATATATATATATATATATAAAAGAGGATGATGAAAGACCCTAATTCTCCCACCGCTGCTCGTTCTCTTCCAGCTTTTTTTTTTTTTTTTCAATTTCTCCCAAATTTTCCACAATAAAATCTAAGATATTGTGATATCATATCTTTCAAAAAAGTAATCAGTTAAAATAAATCATAAAAATATGATATTTTTGCCCTTTTTAGCAATGTTTTCATCCAATCACAGTTAATCCAAATTAATTATAATACATGCAATTAAGCCCAATTTAATTGATAAAAATCCCAAATAAGATATGAAAAATCAATATAAAATAGGATTTATCACATTCACTTTTCAGTTCTTTTTAATATACTTCAATGAGTAATTAGTAGATCAAGGATTTTTTTTCCCTGAAATTTTTCTTACATTTATCCCTCATTAAATATGGGCATATTTTGAAAAGATCATTTATTAAAAAAGTAAAGAAATCATTAAATAAATGCGAAAATATCTGTTTGCAAAACGAATTGCTGTGAACCTCTCTCAACAACCAATAGTTTTTTCACATCTCTTGAAATATGTTAAGAAAAACTGAAAAATGAAATAATTTTGAATTTTAGCAGGAAATATTTATATTTTTAATTTTTAATTTTGATAGAAATGGTATATTTAGAGATGAAAGCAGTACATATACAGTGTTGAACCCAATCCGAATAATTATTACTTGGATCTTAAAATTTGTGGCTGGGTCTTTTTTTCCCCTAATTTTTTTCATTTGGAAATATTTCTTTTGTTCCTTATCGAGAATGAATGTCCTGCCCGCCTTTTTCCAGGTTTTTTTTTTTTTTTTTTAAGTTTCATTGACTTTAAGACTCTGGCGCTGTACAATTTTTTGGGTTATCCCCTTTGTCATTTTACGCGCTAAACGGTGCGCTTCTGGTAGCAGAGAGGCAGCGGACTACCAGGGTAGCGGAGGGAAGCCAGGTCCGGAGAAAGGGAGGGATAGCTGAGGAATTTGCTAAACCTAACCATTTTTTAATTTTAAAACAATAAAATAATAAACAATAGTAGGCTGCCACGGAAGCTTAAAATCATTTGAGCTGGTGCATTCTCATTCGTAAGCATAGATGAGTTGGTACTCTAGGAGTACATAATTATTTCTCTGAAATTAAAGTAGTACGCATATGGAAGTTTAGGAACTTAGGAAGTGGATGTGGTGGCCATCAAAGAGTAACATATGAATGATTCAGATTCATTTTTTTTTTATTTTTAAAAAAATTATTTAAAAATCATCATTGTTATGGAAATGTGAATGGAGAAGTAGCCGGGTGCTAATTCCACAAGACGGGTCCCTCCAAGTTGAAATGATTGATTCTCTATCTATTTGCCTTCATAAATTGACTCTATTCATTGCTTCAAGTCAGATTATCTGCATTATTTCTTTTTCACGCGCTTTATTAATTTGCATGGGTTACATCATCTTGAAAAAGTCTAACTGTGTATCATTTTAGCTTTGTTCCAATAAAATTGTCTTTTATTAAAAATAATAAATTAAGCTATATAGATTACACGCACCCACGTGGAAACTTGTCACAAAGTAGGTCTTTGCTTTTTTGCTTGCCAGTTTTCTAAATGGTCCTTCTGGGTTAGGCTCTGCATAATCAGGAAGTTTCATTGCAATTTCTGGTATCTTTCTCCCCTTCATATTCTGCATATTCACGAAGCTGCATTCCAATTTCTGGAGACTCTATGGTATAAAAAGAAGCTCATTTCAGTCTTCGATCCTCAATTCATCTCCAGCCCCTCAGAAGGTACTCCTTTGGTACTGCTCTCCAATTGCAGGTGAGTAGTTTTTGATTCCTTTAGGTGTATTTAGTTTAAACGCATGGTTCAACCAATAATAAATCTTCAATTTAGTGCTTTTGTTCGCACAGCATCTAGATTTCTTCAAAGTCAAAATGATTGAACTTTGGATAGAAAAACCTGCCCTTAAAACCAACATGCATATCCAGTTAAATTTCGATGCTGATTTTCAAAAAGCTTCAACCTTTTGTCCTGATTCTGTCTTTTTACTTGCTCCTGGTTTCACTGCATAAACAAGAGCCATGAGACCAAATTACCACAGAGAAACTAAAATATTCAGTTGCAAACATTGTTATTGCTACCGTTTGTGATTCATTGTTTATGCCTTATTAGAAGCGTTGGAAAGAAAGACTAGTAAGCAAATGGACAAGAAATAGGCATATAGTGTATAAAATTACAAATTGTATAATAAGCATTTTCAACGCAGATGTCTTTTCATAATAATGATTCTCAATACAGCCAGGCAGCGCAAATCTTTCTAGTTTTCTTGCCGCTTTACTTTAAGTAAATGAATCTTCATCTGCTTATAGCTGCTACTAGTTTTTGTGTCAATGACAGTAATGCATCCTTTTGGCAATAAATTCATAATTTTGTTATATATGTGCAAATCAAACCAAAAGTTTCACATTTGATTAGAGGTAAGAGTGAACCTCTGATTCTTTAATTTTACATAAAGTTTTAGATTGATCCTTAGTTGTAAAAAGCAGTATATTTTTTAGTTTTAAAAAGCGGTATTTTTTCATCAATTCTCTAACCTAACTACTGTTAGTCTCAAATTATAATTTTTTTTAATAATTATGGTTATTTTGAAAACTAAACTTAATATGTCAGCATCTGATTAATAATGTCTTGTTAACAACTTAAAATTTTAATGTTTGCATTTTTTATTTATATTATTAAAATTAAAGGGCTGAAAATACTTTTTAATTTATGAAATTAAGGAAGAAATTTTAGGATTAAATAATTAATAATACACATGATTTTTTTAAATAAAAAGACAGCTTCATTAAAAAGATAAAAGGTTACAAAATTAAGGAAATATACTTGATAAAATTAAAGGACAACAATGAAATCTTGTGTAAAATTCAAAAATTAATGGTGCATTTTTTTTGCCTTTAAAATAAATAGATATAATTAAATTTGCTTGTGAGGGAGAGTCAAGTTGACAATGTGGAGTTTTTACTCATTACATGATTGCTGCTTACTAGTCAATGGTCCAATTCTAATTCTAGAATTATAGAGCTTGTTTGGTTTCTTATTTTGAAAGCAGTTTTCTGCTTTTAAAAATAGAAAACAAAAAAACTTGTTTGGCAATTTCTTTTTATTTGATTGTTTTAAAAAAAACAAAAATATGTTTTTAAAAACTGAAAAACCAAAACAACTTTTACATGTTTTCTTTGTTTTTTTTTGTTTTTTATTTTTTATTTTGAAAAATTGGAGAAATCTTCTTCTCTTCTCTTCTACTACCTACTACTTATCACTGTCAATGATAACTACCACTTGTCAAAGTGTAATTTTTTTATATTTTTTTTTAAATGTGATTTTTTAAAAATTATTTTCTAAACAATTTTTTTTATTTTTTGTTTCCAAAACTTGTTCTTAAAAACAATTTTATAAAATTGTTTTGAGAACAAGAAAGCAAAGAACAAAAACAAACAGGGCCATAGTGTTTGTCTTACTATCGAGTCCAAAAAGTGACAATACCATTGTCAACTCATCACTTTCCATACTTGCTTCATAGTTTATATATCCACGTCATTTTTCCTATTCTGGAATTATCTAGTCCAAAACCACGGCGCAATGGACTTTTCCTTGCTTCATTCATGTCAACTTCTGCTATCAATGCTTCTCTTCTCCCTCCCATATGCAGTCAGTTTGTAAGATCTAAAGCTAAAATTTATAAATTGACGTATGAGCTCTTTTAAGTTAAGTTTCCTCAAGTCCTAAACTACGACCTTTTTATCATTCCATTAATCTCCTAATTAATTAAGAAAGCTAAGGTACTTGTCTGTTAAAGTATTTCCATATCGTATAAGTTCGGAATTCATTTATTTTGCAGCACTAATGTCTATGTTTCCTCATCTGTTGAGTTTTACTACAGGATCATAATGCAGGCCGCTAAAGCTGCTATTTGGGATCCTCTTTGTCATTATCTGAATTCGAGTGAAACACGAACGAAGAAGCCTAAAAAAAAGAAAGTTGACAAATCGAACCAATGCTTGATCAAATCAGTAACACGTGTACGTTTGTGGAATTCCAATGCTTTTGATGCTTTGGAGAGTAGAAAGCCAATCCTGGGGAATGTTATGGAAGCATTAGCTGATCCTGATACTCACTTAATTGGAGTTTATGGTTTAGATGATGAGATCAAAGACACTTTACTTCAAAGAGTTTACAGAAGAATTCAAAAAGATAATCTGTTTGATCTGGTTCTTACTGCAACGGTAACAAGAAAACCTGATGTGAAGAAAGTTCAAGATGAACTTGCAAGTCAGCTAGGGTTCACTTTTAGACAGAAGTCCATAGATAAAAGGGCCAACGAGCTGATTCATAGGATCAAGAAGGAGCACAAGATTCTGATTGTACTTTGTGATCTCTACGAGAGGCTTGACTTGGGTAAGGTTGGAATTCCATATGGCATAGATCACACAGGTTGCGAGATATTAATCACTTCTACAACTGAAGATGTGCTATCCAATCACATGCATACCCAGAAGAGTTTCATGGTCTGATGATTCTCTTAATGTATAAACGCTTTAAGCTTTTGCTGAGAGTTACCGGATCATATATGTTATAAGGGGCTTATTGATTATATGTTTGCTCTTTTTTTCCTTGATAGGTGATAAACCTCTATTTTATCTTATTATTTTATATCTTTTGGGGGCTTTTATTAACTAAAATAAGTTAATTTGCATTTGTTATGATTAATTTCATTTAAAGAATGATTTTATTAAAATAGAGCAAAAAAAAAGAAGGATAATTTTGTCATATCTTTATGTTTGTTCTTAAATAATTATTTTGGGACTTCATGATATTACATATTGTTAAATTATTTTGCAGATTAATGAGGACAAATTGAAATTAGAAGCTGAACAGAAGAAAAAAATAATAAAAAAATAAATCAATGAATAAAGGACCACTGCACAGCGTTTTGGGGATGGCAATTTGGAGGTCATTTGATTGGTTTAGAATAAAGGGATGCCATCGTGCAGAAGGGGAGAGAGGGACGCCGCCACACAAGCCTTCTATTGGGACCTCTAAAGACTCTTCTTCCATCATCAATATGAGGACGCCCCACACACAGACCTTGGGGAACATTGTACATTCACAAGCTTTGATCCTCTCCATTCCACGTCCCTGAACCATCGATCATCACCATTCATCTTCCTCACCGTCGGTGCTCCCTCTTCCTTCACCAGACTTCCTTCTTCCCCCTTCATCCTGTTCAGATTTCCTTTGGCTTCACCAGTTTATTGTCACCGCTTCTTCATCGCTGCTGAATCTATGGAGCTCGTTGTGACTAGATTCAAAGCAATGAGTGGCTGAGTTTTACTGTACTCTTTGGGCTTGAATTTAATGACTTGAGCTTGGGAGCTACAAAAAGAGTCTAATTCTCATCTTTAGTTTAAATTGTATACTGATGATTTCTGGTTTGAAATTTGTTATGTGCAGTTTAAAACTTAGAATTGCTAATTGCAATTTTTGGTTTGGATTAGAATTGTTGAGATTTGGATTGGTAATTTTAAGTTTGAGTACTTGGGTTTATGAATATATATTTAATTATATGTTTATGCCATTGTTGATTCATTGTTAGTATGATTTTTATACTAGTTGTGTAGAGATTATGCTTGAAGTGAATTTAACAAATAATTAGTGTTCTAGTTGAGCATTAATTTAAAAGGAATAACTTTTCTAAACTGATACTTATCAATTGATTTACTCTCACATCATTAATCATGCTAGGATAGTCATTAGTTCATTTCTAAAGATCATCTCATCATTAAATTCCTTAACATCCAAATTAATATTTTCATTTATCATTTTATTAAAAAAACCCCCAAAAAATAGTAATTAGGATTTATCTAATTTGCATTGTTTATAAAGTAGTTTTATTAAAGAAAATCAATTTTAAAACCCTCTCAGTGTTTCGGTACTTAGTTTAGCTTAGATTTTCAAATAAAAAGGCTCCGCGAGAGAGACGATCTGGATTGTGCACTATATTGCATTTATATTTGGTTTTATTTTTTATTTAACCCAAAACGACTAAAAAGGTTCAAATCAATAGGACTATGTAATAGTAGCATTCCTCGCTTACATTGTACAACTGGGATCACAAGCCACTTGTAACTCATTCTTATATACTAAAGAATATATTAAATAAATAAAATTTTTCAAATTTATCTTTATTAAAATTTTTTGGAAAATTAATTTTTTAGAGTCCTTATAGTTTTGGCTTATTGTAACTCACTTCTTGAACTTTGATTTCCTACAACTCAATCCCTATGGTTCTAATCATTTTATATTTTAGTCCTTATATTTTAGAAAAATGAAATTATATATCTAACACAGATAGAGACTAAATTATAAAAGGGCCGGTTATAATTATAGAGACTGAGTGAACCTGTAGGGACTAATTTACAAAGGAGTCAAAACTACAAGACTAAAAATTAAGTTTTTTTCCAAATTTTTTATCTTTGGACACTTACAAATCATTCATGCATTTCTTTCCTATTTCTCCTTTTCTAAAGAGAAGAATTACAGTGATGTTTCAAGAAAGAACAAAATTTTAAAATAACTTCCAGAAGTTACCATTCTCTATTCTCCATTCTAAAACACTACCAAAAAAAAAAAATCAAATTAGTGACAAAATTTAATGATGAAATTTCCATCACTAATCAAAATTACTGACAGATTAACGACGAATTAGTGACGGAATTCAATTAGCGACAAAATTTTTTCCGTCACTAATTCCACTATCACTAAATAATTAGTAATGGAATTCAAAATTCCACTAATTAGTAACGGATTAGCAGCAGAAATTAGTGACATAAATTTTTCGTCACTAATCTATCGTTAATGAGTGATGGATATCATAAAAAAATTTCCATCACCAATTTGTGACGAAATTTTTCGTCACTATTTTATCGCTAAATTTTTTTTATTTTGTAAATTTAAAATACCATATCATCGCCACGTATCCATCACTATGACCCGCCACGTCATCAATAGCTACCACCTCACCAACTATTCTCTCCCCCCTATTGCCACATCATCTCTTCATCCACATCGTCGCTACATGTCCATCATTATGAACCACCACGTCATCGCTTTGTCCACGTCACAAATTGAGCCAATTTGTGGAGAAGTGTTCGTTTGAACTTGAAACCTCCTGTGCGCATGATGAAACCTTTGCCAATTGAGCTAAGAAGTACTTGCGAAATTCTTTTACAAAAATAAATATATATAATATTTCTAATAACAATACAAATATATATAATAAATATTATATACATAATTTAATACATATTATATAATTTAAAATATTATTATTTCTTTGAATTTAATTTTTATATTTTAGTAAAATTTTCTAACAATTTATATTTTTATTCAAATATTTAATAAAATAATAAGTATATTATATATTTTTATTTTATTTTATAATATTTGTATTTTTTAATTTTTATATAATATATTATTTAAAAATTATGATATATTATATTTTTATTTAATAATAAGTTTAAAAAATAATTATTCTATATTTATATTATATTTTTTGGCGACAGATTAATGATGGAATTGCGACGAAAATTAGTACATAAAAGTTCCGTCACTAATTTCCGTCACAAAATGAGAGTTAGTGAAAGATTGGTGACATAAATTAGTGACGAAATTTCCGTCACTAATTATTTAAAACAACATTAGTGACGGACTTGTGACAGAATGTAGTGACGCAATAAAATTCTGTCACTAATTCGTCTCTAGTGACGGAATAAAATTCCATCACCAATCCTTAACTAATTTAGTGACGGAAATTTTCCGTCATTAAATTTTGTCACTAATTTTAGTGACGGAATTTGTGAAGGATTAGCGGCGGAATAAAATTCTGTCACTAAATTCCGTTACTAATATCCTTTTTTGTAGTGAAACTTATCATTACAGATTGTTTAAAGTATTACTAAGATCTTATAGTATTTATTTCTTTTCTTTGGGACTTGATTGTAATTTTTTCTTTCCGAAGAGAATTAAACTAAACTACGTAGTGTGCTTGAAAAATATAAATACTAAATCTTCAACAAATCTCATAACCTCACGATAAATCTGATGATACCAACTCTCACATAAATGTGGCCACTAGCTTGCGATTACAGCATCATAAATATTTAAATTTAAAATCTTCTAATAAAAATATTACCTACTTATATGAAGACGAGTAATTTCCAATGTATATTACTGCCATGTAATTTATGTTTTACCTTGATCTTTTAACAAGCTGAACAAGCATATTTCATATAGATAATTTACTATTTTTTCCTTTCATGGTTATTATAACTTTGGAAAATCTTTAAAAAAATCTCTTGAATTTCAAAATTTCAAATCAATCTTGTTTGCTATATTTTAATTCAAAATTTCAAATCAATCTTGTTTACTATATTTTAATATAGTAATTGACTATATTTAAAAAAACAAATTATGACACATTTTTATATTTTGAAATTGAAGAGGCATTTTTTGGGATTTCTCCAAATAATAACTTCCCATGTATTTTCTAAATTTCAAATAAAAATCTTTACAAAAATCGTAATGCAAAATATATGATTTAATCATCAGCCTACTCATAAGAGTCTGACAGTCGGTTTTGGTCTATAATGATTGCCTATATTGCGTTTTTTATAAAAGTTATTAGAGCAAATGAACACTAACTAACATTCAAAATATTGCCAGTAAAAAAAAAAAAAACTAATACTCAAAATATTGCGTCTTAAATTATGAGCCGTATTTTTAGATTGTAGATTTTGAATTTTTCTACTCTTTTCTAATTTTCAATTCTACATTCTCTTTCTAGATATCTTAATTCTTATGTACTACCCTTCAATTCTTAATATAAGAGCTAATTTGATATTCAATTTGGTTTTAAATATAAGAACCCAATTTACTTTGTCTCTTATATTTATCTATTTTTTCTTAGGTAATCTTTTTAGTAGTTGTACAAGTTAAAGATTTCATCGAATTGTAGTTTTACCTGATAAATATAATTGGAAAGTGTATTCTGAAAAAGATAACACATATGTATTACAAATAACTAACTTAACAAACTTAATTAATCTATTTAAATTAATCAACTAGTTATTATATTAAGGACAGGAAGTAGTATTATTTAACTTTAAAATCTAATTCAAATTATAAATTATTTCTATTTGTTTTTTTTATTTTAGATTATACATTTAAGTGAGATTTTGAAATTTGTTTAATGAGTGTGCTGCTAGACATTCTCAAAGATTGGTTTATTAACACTAGAAAATGAAGGATTAATATTCTCTCTAGGAGAAAAGTTTTATTTTTATATTGATGAAAAATACGCTAACATTTCATTCTTTATATAAAGCATAATCCTCTATAATTATTTATATATTTTCTCAATTAACCTCTAGCATGAAGTATGAAAGGAAGTAACTTTAACACTCAAAATCAGACATGACACGCATACATAAAATTTTTAAAACTCACTCACCTTTAAAATTTATAAAATATTTATTAAACCCAGAAATACATAACAATAATCTCGCTAACAATAAAATAAATATGTTAGCAAAAAAATAAAAATAAAATAAATATACTCATATTTTTGTAAGGTCATTCATCATTAGTGTTCCTTAAAAAATTATTAACTTGTTATATACAAAATTAGAGACCACTTGACGAAGCTGCATTCCAATTTTTTGAGATCTTTCTCTCCTTCATAGTCCGATCTAAACCCTGTTACTTCTTGTCGGACTCTCAGGAAAAAGAAGCTAATTTCTTCCAGACCCAACAACAATTGTTTTAGTCTTCTCATAGATCTCCTTGCGGAAGGTTTTCCTCTGTCACTGTATTTCAATTTTGTGCCCTGAATAAATTAAATTCTCCCATATCTTGGGTTTCTTCCTTTTTTCTTCTTGTAACAATCATGTCTTTGAGTTTCATTTCAGGATTAATAATGTTGCGGTCTGCTGTGGCAATTGCTGGAATAATTGGCCTTACTGCAATTTCACATCGTCTTCTTCGTCATTATCTCACTCCAAGCAAATCCCAGACACACAAGCCTCAATCCCAAGACAAGAACGAGAACAAAGTTGGGTGCACAGAACCTGAAGCGATGATTGCCAATTCTGATGGGAATCTGTTTGAATCACAAGGGAAAATGTCCAATTCCAATGTTTTTGATCCTTTGGGACAGGGTATTCCAATCCCGTGGGATGTTTTTGAGGCATTAGCTGATCCTAATTTTTTCTTGATCGGAGTTTATGGCCCTTATTTTAAGATTCTATATGGTCTGCGTCGAAGATTTTACAAAAGAGTTCAAAGAAAACAACTGTTTGATATAGTTGTGACAGCAGATGTAACCAAAGATCCTGATGTGTGGATGATTCAAGAGGATATTGCTCGTCAGTTAGGCTTTACATTTAAAAACATATTCGAAGATGAAAGAGCCAAAGAATTGAGTCACATGATCAAGAACGAGAAGAGTATTCTCATTGTACTTTGTGACCTTTATAATGGATTTGACCCCAGTAACGTAGGAATTCCCTATGGTGCTGATCACACAGGCTGCAAGATATTACTCACTTCTACAGATGAAGATCTGCTATCCAAACATATGCATACCCAAATAAATTTCACTGTCGATGATTTTTTTCATTGGTAGAAGCTTTAGACTCTTATTAGAGTTTCTATAGATCCTATGCTCTCTCTTGTCCCATTGTTAAGATAGTGAGAAAAATAAATTCTTTTTAGTTCTAATTTATAAGGTATGCCATTGATTTTTTTTTTTTTTCCAATTACAAGTTTCCCTTTCTACACCCATTAATTGATGCATGTTATTGAAGTGTTGGTGTCTTATTTGAACTATCTATAGCGCAGTCGAAAACTTGTTAAATTTTTTATTGAGTTAATGAGTTTTAAGATTTTCTTTTATTTGTTATCAAATATGTTGAATATTACTTATAGATAGGATCAATGGGAAGAAGCATGTTATAAGGGGCTTATTACATATTTGCTTTTTTTAATGACTGTATCTCGCTTGTGTTTATTGTTATGGAATGTGAATGGAGCGGATGTTTCACAAGATGGGTCCCTTCGAGCTGAAATTAATTGCTGTCATAAATAAAGATACATACACACTTGTCACAACGTACAATTCTGTGATCGGCTTCCAATTTGTGGGATCTTTCTCTGCCTCTTATTAAGGGAACAGGCTTGTAAAACTTAAGTTATTATCAAAAGTTTCCTCAAGTCCCAGGCAACAGTCTTTTGAATCTTTTCATCAATCTCGTGCAGAAGTTACTCATCTGTTCCCGTTTTGCAATGGCAGGTGACTTGTTTTTCATCTCTTTTATTTTGGCTGCATGGTCTATTTAATTTAAAAGCATGGTTCAGCCAAGAAACCTTCAATCTAGTGCTTTTTATTGCAGAGCATCTAAATTTCGTGAAAGTTGAAATAATTTAACTTAAATGCATGGTCTGCTACGAGCCTTGCTAACTGTTTGCATAATCGGGAAGAATAATGTTATGTGATGAATCTGCCAAATATTTGGGGGGCCCAGGGAGGACACGTGGCTTGTGATCACCCAAGAAATTTCTCTTCCATCTGGACCTTTTGGTTGTTTGCCTTTCATGCATCTGATGATTCTGTTATCTCAGTGTTGATCTGGTTGCTATCCTTGGGATGTTTATTGCTGTTTACAGTAATAAAAACATATGCAGAGCTTCATACACTTTCATTGCTATTACTATTGCATTAGTTTTTCTGAGTTCATTACATGTTACTGATAGTGATGGATGGTGAAGGAAATATAATACAGCCAAGAAAAAGGAGAAAAGAAAAGAAAGAGTAAACTTTTAGAGGTCAAGTTTCCTATAAGAAAAATTACTACAGGGGGAGGACTTTTCACACTTGAAAGTAAATCTCTCTTCACACTTGAATGTAAATCTGCTGAATCAATGTTCCCCCAAACAAAGTTGATGATTTAAAAAGTGTGAATAAAACAACTTAACTTGAAAGAATTATTTCAAAATATAAATCAGTTAGCAATATTGTATATGCGATAGAAACTTTTAATCGGGATAAACTTCTTTCTGTTTTCCCAAACGTTTATCAAGGTGTATGTGATAAAAGAAAATCACTTTAAACCGGATCTATCCATACGAATCAAAGCCATTTCAATGGGCCTCAACCAATAATAGGTGGACACAATAACCTTTTTTTGAATTCGGGCGTACCTAGAATGCAAATGAATATTTCCGATACCCACGCACAATCTGATGGCATAAACGGGATCGGATTTTAGTTATACAAATACAGTTGTAAAAAGAGAATGAGAGAATAGAAAGGGAGAAGGGTTGCAAAGAAAAAAACTCCTTAGCATGTGAATATCATTCACACCCGCGTATATATCATGCATCGTTCAGTTTTCCTTTTAGAAAGCTGAATAAAAGCATTCCTTCCGAAGGATAAAGAGTATTTTATAAATAGTAACTCTTAGTCCTTAGTTTATTATATTTTAGACTCCAAAATCTTATAGGCTTCGGTCTAATCCATCCTAGGTCCGGCACAAGTTATAGGGCTTGTTGAGAGATGTGTTTATAAACATATTTATATAAGACAAGACAAAACTCTTCTTATGTATTTATTTTATATTTTGTGTATTACAGTTGAAAATCCTATCACTATTTCAAACAGGCACATAAATTAATTATCAAAATATGGTTTAGTGGCCTATATACCATAATTAACCAACTTGCTTTTCTTGTTAACGTACATCGTTTCTTGAGTGTAATGGTTGTAGGAAAAAAGGCAAACTGTTCCAAGTCAATTTCCTAGTCCCATTAAATTCTTCTGACAAGTGACAACTACATCTCACCCATTAAAGTAGTTTCTGCAACACGTCTTCACACTGACTAGACATAGGAAAGGATAATCACGAAGCTGAGTTCCAATTTCTGGGATCTTTCTCTCCTTCATACTCCTATCTAAATTCTATTTGCTTCTTCCTCGCTAAGGAGACTCTACGGTATAAAAAGAAGCTAGTTTAATTTCTTGAAGACCCAACAGCAACACTTCAGCCTTCACCAATTGATCTTCCTGAGAAAGGTACTCCTCTGTCACTATATATGCTCTTCATGAATTTCATGTGTAATAGCAAATTCTCACACCGCTACAGGATAACATGTGGGGTGTGGTAGCAATTATTGCTGGAATTAGTGGCCTTGCTGCAATTTCGCATCGTGTTGTTCGTTCTTAGCTCGCTCCAACCAAATCCCAGACACACGAGCCTCAATCGGAGGATGAGAACCAGGACAAAGCTGGATGCACAGCAAAAGAAACGATCATGTCCGATTTCGATGGTATTGATGTTTTTGATGATCTTTATTCTCTTTCGGAGTTGTTGCAGGAATACAATGACACTGTTATGAAAGGGGTATTATGTTTTTCATGATCATTACAGGATTAATGCTGTTGCTGTCTGCTATAGCAATTATTGCCGGCATTATTGGCCTTGTCACAGTTTCGCTTCGTCTTTTTCGTCGTTGTCTCACTTCTATCAAATCCAAGGCATACAAGCCTCAATCGCAGGACGAGAACCATAACGAAGCTGGGTACACAGAACAAGAAGCAATGATATCCAATTCCGATGGTAATGATGTTTTGAATGATCTTTGAACTTTTTTCAAGTTGTTCCAAGAATCATTCTGTCATGAAAAGGAGGTTGTCCAATCGGGCACGTTCAATTCCAATGATTTTGATTATTCAGAACGGAGTATACTAGCCCTGGGGAATGTTATGGGGGCATTAGCTGATCCTAATACTCACTTACTCGGAGTTTATGGCTCAGATGATGAGATGAAAGACACTTTGCTTCAAAGAGTCTACAGAAGAGTTCAAAGAGATCAACAGTTTGGTATGGTTGTGACAGCAACTGTAACCAAAAATCCTGATGTGAGGAAGATTCAAGAGGATATTGCTCATCAACTAGGGTTCACCTTTAACCAGAAATCTAATGCTGGAAGAGCTAAAGAATTTATTCGTAGGATCAAGAACGAGCAGACTACTCTCTTTGTGCTTCGTGACCTGTATGAAAGAGTTGACCTTAGTAAGGTAGGAATTCCATATGGGGCAGATCATACTGGTTGCAAGTTATTACTCACTTCTACAACTGCAGATGTCCTATCTAACCAGATGCATACCCAAAAGAATATCATGGTCATATGATTCGCTGTTAATGTATAAAAGCTTTAAACTTACGTTGAGAGTTTCCAGAGCATATATGTTGTGAGGAGCGTATTATATGTTTGCTCTTTTTTCCTTCGCATGATCATGCATAATAGTAGTATGTGTGGCTTGTGTGTGTTGTACAATCTTTTAAGGAAATATGTATGGAAGGTTATTGTTATAAAAATATGAATGGAGTGCCAACCAAAGTTAATCTAACCGGTAAGAAGTCAATTAATAACTCATAAGGTTGTGAGTGTAAATCTCACTGCTGATATAAGGATCTTATTGATGGGTAATTTATAAATAGTTCTATAAGCGATCTCTAAATATGAGGATATGTTGTGGTTATGATAAGTTCTTAGGACTCAAGTCATCTAAACTTTCATGTTAAAAAAAATAAAAAATTTAGACAAACACACGCTTGCCTTATTGGAGTGTGGTCATAAAGCTGCACCACAATTTCTAGAATATTATTCCTATCCTTGAGCCTGGGATGCAATTTCTCTTCTTCCCAGAGAAAATTACTTTGTTGTATCTGGAGTTAAAGTTACTGTTCATATACTGATGATATTGATTCCATGGGGATAAGACAAAGCAAGATCGAAAAAGTTAAAAAAAAAGAAGGAAGGTGAAGGAAAGTGAAGGACAAGAAAAAAGGAAAGTGGACTGAAAAATAAAGCAAAGAAAAGGCTTGTGGAGCAAACGAGGAAAGAGAAGAAAGAACAGGAAGAACGAGAAAACAATGGGGAAAAATTTATTGCCGAAAATCACATTATATGAAGGAAAAACCTCATCTTATTTAATTGATTGCGTGCTGTTTAATTTGGATTCCCAAGCATTTATATTTCCTTTCTTCTTTTGCGTCACTTTCCTTCTTTCTCAAATAAATGTATGCTCCGATATTATACAAGCCCAGCCACCAATACTTATCCAATAATTATAATATTATCTCAAAAGTTTAGCCTCAAATAAATATTTGCTAAAATCAAAATATTACATAACATAAAGTTAATCGTATGTTAATTTTCTTATACGTGACCTCTATGGGTAATTTGTCCAAAATATAAAAATTAGCCAATGAATTTTTTTCTCAATTATCAATTCTTTTTTTAATTTTTAAAACAACACATATGCATGTCCAGATAAATTTTATGGTTGAAAAGTTCTCTTTCTTAATAAACTTTCAGGACATAGAGAAAAGAAAATTTCAGGTGCTGAATGCTTTTTTTCATGGATAACTTTAGAGTATTTAAGCACCTTATTTTGTTAAAAAAAAATTATTTCAACATAAAAATTTAGAAAAGGAATAAATGACATAAATATATTTTCCAATAAAAAAGGGATAATATTATAATTCAACTGTAGAGAATAGCATAGTTTCTTATCGGAGTCGCCGAGTCACATTTCTTTAGTTATATTGATAGAAGACTTATGTTTGGTAGGCATGTATTTTATTAATCGAAAATAATAAAAAGCTATGATGGTCAACTACATATACTAGTGGAGATGTTCCTCTTTTTTTTAATACACTAGAGATTTTCTTTCTAATTTCGCCTTTCTTAAAACTTCTTATTCTTTTTAACAAACACAACTCAAATTTATATTTTTAATGTTGTTGATTTTGATTATAAAATCTTTTTCATAACCTACGAATGAAATTTTATAATTAAAACCGGAGATAGTACTTTGAATTTGCCAAAACACGTGCAAGTCAGTGTTGTAGTCATAGAAATGAATGCAAAGTGGAAGTCTATTTCATAGATGGTCTTTAGAATTGTCAAAATGAATCGGTCGGGCCCAAATAAGTCATTTTGCCTTAATTTGGATTTTTTTTCCATCCTGACCAGTGACCCCAGGTGACATGGTTTAAGGGTGGGACCGAAAGCCCGAAGAATATTTTTATACATATATAAATTTCAAAAGATCAGAATCAAATCAAGCTTTAAATTTGAATAATACAAATACAAGTCTTAAAAAACAAAACATAAATTATCTTAAAGTCTAAATGTCGAAATCAAAATTAAATAAATAAAGTGAAATGAGATTATGGTTAACACGGTTTAGATTCTGTTTTGTCTGGCTTTAACATGGCGAATGCTTAATTTTCAAGAGTTAACCCTTAAAAATGTTCACCATTTAAATTGGCAGCCCTACAGACCTTGCCTATGTTGCGAAAGAGTCCCTCCAAATTGTAATTTATGACAATATTTTAAAAGTTGAATTGGACACACTGATGGGTCGTACTGATAGCCGAAGCAGTAATATAATAATTAAATAAAAATAATATTATGCATATATAATAATGTATGCATAAAAATAAAATATTACTTTATCCAATAATTTAAAAATAAACTTAAATAGTTCAATTCATAATTAAATTAACAAATTTATAAGATAATAATATATCTTACAAATTACTAATAATAATAAAATACGTTTACATGTTCAATTTTTGGGTAAGAGTGCATTTAATACCTGATCTTATTTTCTAATTATACTTAATTTTTTGTATAGTAGATCCAATGTCCTGGTTTTATTGCTTTGATATATTTAATCTTATTTTTTATGCATCTAACACAGTAAAATTTGGAGTGCTGTAACTAAAAAAAAACATTTAGATGCTAGATACATCAGAAAAATAAGATGAGGGTGTTGGATGTATTATATATGAAATCAGGATGCTAAATATATTTAAAAAAATAAGATTAATGTGCTAAATATACATTTACCCTTATTTTATACTCCCTCCGTTCCTTATTATAAGAGACATTTGGTGCTTATGGTATGTTCCTATATATAAGAGACACTTAAAAGTTGTCTCTACTTTTTTGTGTTGATTTCCTATTTTACCCATATTTATTGTCTCCAACTCACACTCTCTCTCCTTTCCACTTCTCTTTCTTTTAATAAATTACCATTGTTCTCTCTCCTTATTAATGAGGGTATTTTTGGAAAAAAATTATACTTTTTACATATTAATTGTTCTTAACTAATTTTAACTGTTTTTTTTATCAACGTAATTCGGTTATTCGTCTCTTATAATAAGGAACGAAGGGAGTATTAATTATTTTAGGTAAATATATAGTATGTAAATAAATTTAAAAAAATTATAAAAATGAAAATGTAAAAAAGAAAAATAAGGAAAAAAAGTTTCTCAACTTAAAGAAAGGATAAAAAGTTTTACATGCCTCGGCATGCGTGTGGCAGCTCTAGACCTGTCGGTGAGGAGCCAAATTTATTTCTCTGGCCCATTCATAGTTTCCTTTCACACTTTCATTTTCAGGAACTCATCTTTCCTCGCCATTTTTTTTTTCATTATTTCTATTATTATAACAAAATTGTAAAGGAATGTTTTTTTTTCCATGATTTTTTCTCCTCCCCTTCATTCTTTCTCCCTGTCTTATTCATGAAGGCCTCATCTCGCACCCTACCCCATTTTTTCAGAACTCAGCCTTAGTTTGGACTTAAATGTAGTTTAGAATCACTTATAAACATAGTATTAAAAACTAAACCGAACTAGTAGGATTAGACCAAAAACTTGCCAACTAGTCACCTGGCCAGTCTGGTCGGCAACAGAAAGCCAATGGTAGGTTGATTGGGGGTGACTTCGTGTAATCCAGTCAACCTGACTATTTTAATGGGTTAACCCAGTTGCTTGTATGTGTGTTTTTTCAAAGTTATTTTGCTGTTAAAAAATTATTAATTAGTAGTAACTAAAGGATTATTTCGTGATTTTATTGAGGTCATAAATCTATTTTGATATTTTGCTAGAATAAATATTTAGTGAATTTAATAATATGATGTTATGATATCAATTGGTCAAGGGAATTATAAGAAAAACGAAAAGAAAATATAAGTATATGATTATTTTGCTAGAGATTCAAGATATTAAATTAATTTAATTTTTATTTTTTTATCTTTCATTAGTTTGACTCCGATTTGACCCACTAACTTTTAACCTACTATCTTGGCTGGTTCAAAGGTTTGTCTGATTTTCAATATCTTAGTTATAAGCACATTTCATATAAATCAAAACAAATATAAACACATTTTATATAAATCGAGACAAAACTTCTCTCACATACTTATTTTATATTTCTTAAATTGTAGTTGAAAAACTACTTATGAGAGTTGAAATGGGCCCTTAGCCTGTGCTTGCTTTCATAAATCACCACTTATTTACTGAATAATTTTTCTTGCCATGACTAAAGATCAAAATAATTTAATCAAAAATAAGTGGGCTGTGAGGGATGAGTCAATGCCCTCCAAACAAAGTTGATGATTTAAAAATGAAATCAAAAAATTACTTTTTTTTTTTCATTTGAACCCAGCAATATTCAAATATAAATTACTTAGTAATATTGCATACATGATAAAAGAAAATCATTTTAGAGCGGCTGGGGGGACACAATAACCCCTATACATGACATGGATACGGCACTAATTATAAATTGAATCTCAAAATATGATTTTAGTGCCCTATATACCATAACCAACTTAATTATCTTGTTGAAAGGTACTGCTTCTCAAATTTAGCAAATATATATATATTATTGCTTCTCTGTTTTTTTTCCTTTCTCTGGAGCTGAATTATTGCTTCTCATATTGAGTGTAATTGTTCTACCAGGAAAACAATAATGTTAATGATGGTAGAGGAAAAAAATTTTGGGTGAAAAGAATTTTACAATAAACCAAGAGAGAAAGCGAACTGGTCCAAGTCAATTTCCCAGTCAAAACATTATCTCCCATCTCACACAATAAGCACTTTCTGAAACACAAGTCTTTACTTTTGCCTCCCAATAATCACGAAGCTGCATTGCAGTTTCTGGGATGTTTCTCTCCTTCACACTCCTATCTGTAAACACTGTTACTTCTTCCTCACTTATGGTACTGGATTTCCACCAAAAAAGAAGCTAATTTTATAACAAATCCAAAGATAAAAAGATCCAAAGTATTGACTCTTAACACCAAGAACGAGCAGAATGTATTCATCGTAC